CGCACGTTTGCGCACTCGACGCGCATGATCTCTGCAGAGTCGAGGGTCGCCTCCAGCCAAACCAGGATTCGCATTTCACCACACGTTTGAGAACGTGACACGCACGAGATCGCAAAGGATTCATCTGGCACAGCCGGAATTCGCATTTCACCACACGTAGAGTTGCCTCCAGCCAAACATGAACTCGCACTTCGCCTCACGTTTGCTGAGCACTCGACATGCACGATCTCCGCAGAGGGTCACGTCAAGCCCTGTCCGGCCAGGCCCCCGGCTCAGAAAGAAGAAATAAATAGCCGAGATATATCACGCACGCACGAACAAACATATGTGTTTGCTCTATACATTGTTTACTCTTGCATGGGCATTTACTGAAGCAAGACCCCAGCGAAAGTCATACTTGATTTTGCATATGATTTTTCTCAAGTAAGATCCCAACGAAAGTTATACTTGACTTTGCACATGACATTACTTGAGCTAGATACCGGCAAAACCTATCCAAGCCAGGTCCCAGCAGCAAAGCAATCCAACCAAGCAAGATCCCAGCACCAAAGCAGTTCACAAAAGCAAGATCCCAGTACCAAAGCAATGCCAGCGTAGCAACAGATCTACACGACCATACCTGCAAGCTGCAGATGTACTTATAGCATACCTATTGCAGCATACATAGAACTGGAGAAGTACAACTTGCAAATGTATTACCACCACCGTAGCAGCAGGTCTAGAAGACCACGCACGCAAGCTGCAAACGTTGCTCCTAGCATACATACAAACGTAGCTATATGCCAGAAAGATAGCTCCCCAATGTATTGATGCAGATGCGTTATGCAAAATAATTCTACAAAAGAACCCTTCGCAACACTCCCAGGAACTATGAGATGCTCTTCAGAAACACCTTAATGCACTAGAATCACTAGAAGCACCTCGTCATGTTAGGCCAGGGCGGCCATTGCCATAGGTGTTGTGGGAGGGCCTCAAGAGCAAAGGCAGCAAAGCAAACAAAAGCAAGCGCCAAACGGAGAGTCTTGCCTCACGTTTTGCTGTGGAACAGCCGCTACGGCGAAGTCGCCGCTCCAATCTCGGACTGCCGTCTTCAAGGAATCATAATAAGTGAAGGTGTCTAATGACTCTCGAATCCAACACCTGCATCTGTGCATCCAGCAGAAGTTGCTTCCACGAGGCCGTGATGTCGCAGCGCTACTGTAGTGCTTTCCGGTGTACTTCCGACTTGGTCTTGCTACAACAGTACACATGTGATTGTGTCTTTCTAGCTGAAGTGCCCCCACGCCCAAAAAGACATCTAGATGTTGAACTGTTCTCACTTTGTATCCTTGGTCCGAACCCATCTAGCAAAGGGCGTCTTCAGTCTGGATAGACTCCAAGTCTGCATCAGTAGCATTATAAGCACATACCTGGAGACTGAATATGCATGTGTCATGGGCGTGAGATTGACTGGAGCCCAAAAGGAGAGAAAGCCGGGACAAGGAATGGCTGCTGATGTGGAAAATCCATGTCACATCTGTCTATTGTTTCATCCATGCAAGGTGCTTACAACAAACCTGAAGGTGTTTATGATCGCAGCCCAACTGTGCACCAGCATAGAACCCGCAGCACAACTCCGCAGAACTAGTTTGGACAATCTCCCTCCAAGCAAATACTTCGAATCTGAATGTGTTTGGATGCATCAGGCAGGCAAGATGAGCAAAAACGGCGACAAGAGCCAAATTGAGCAAAAGGCTTGCTGGTCTTGACAAAATGCTAAACTGGATATCCGTGTAGCTCACATTTGCGTGGCCTTTGAATCTGAACAATCTTTGTTCATTCCCTGTTCCAAAAGGTTTCAAAGATTTACTTTCCAGCAGGAAGGAGGCTTATTTGCGGGCAGCAAATTTTGCAGCCTTCGCCACAGGACATACCCTCTTTGACTGCCTTTGACCCCCCACTTTTGTCCTCTGTCACTGGCGCGTCATCAATACAGCACCATCACCCGCTGGCAACTGCTGCTGACAGCTCCTGCGAGCCAACGGCCCAAGCTCGGACTGGGCCCACCGAGCGTCGGATCGACCCTCGGGAGCGACCGGTTCGGATCGAAGCCGAACCCCCTCCGCATCACCGAGTTGCGTCCTGAACATGTGGCAGAAACCCGTTCGCTCGTAAAAGACCAAGTACCCGCAGTCGGCCTGGAGCAGTGAAACGCCCTTCTCGGACACATCGGCGCCAAAGCAGTTCATCTGCGCCTGTGCGTGACAGGCCGCCTGGCAATCGGAGATGCCATGGCCACCACCACCGAGTGTAAATCGTGTGGCCTCAGTGAACCAAAGAAGGCCAAGATGAAGTCGGTGTGAGACATGAAATGGGACGTAAAAATGAAAAGTTGGATGAAATCCGCGATGTGCCTTCACTTCATCTGGCTGCAGGATGCATTGTTGATCCCTCATCGCCTGAACAAACTGGTTCTTCATAGCGTCATCCCAGCGCACGTTGCAACTGTTTAATTAAGCAGGCTTACAGAAATCGAACATGTGCCCAATGCGGTTGAATGCTTGATGGAGTGGGCTTCTCATGATTTCTCATGTATGTTAAAGCCAAAGACTGCTTCTTCCCCGAGGTCCGACTCTCTTACTCTCTTCTAAAAAAAACCTCCAACCTCCACGAAGCCATCAAAGCGAGGTGGCAGTGTGGCACCAGCAAGGCCAAAGACATCCTGGCACAGGGGACTCCAAGGATACACGAAGAAAGGTTGAGTAACAACTATACCCAGGCCCATGCCTGAGATCTGGATGGCGAAAACGATAAAAAGGGCCACACATCTTGGACAAAAAAGAAAAAAACAAGAAGACGCGTTCTTCAAGGAAATCTTTGACTTGTGAAACGCTTGTACATTCCTGCTGTTGTAGCATCATGATGCAGTTGTTCTTGGCCATTCCCCGCCTCTCGCCACCTTGGCAGAAGCCCCTCGTGCGTGGATTCGCTCAGTGTGGCTAAGCCGTCGAGCGCCAACATCTGAGTGTCGGAAAGCCTGGGGTGATCTCAGCAACAAACATGGTGCGCACCGCTTTGGGACGGTCGACGCGACACTGTTTGGGAAAGTTTGGGAGAGCTGGATGGCCAAAATGTTTGCCAAAAGGTCTAGGTGCTTTTGATTTCGAAGAGTGGATGAATGATAAATAGCAGCGTGGGCATGTTCTCTTTTTAAATGCCAATTGATTTGTTTTGGTCTCTGTTCTTTTGTTTGTGGATCCTTTTCCTTTAGACCTTGTTTGCTTTTCACCTTTCACCGGGCCACTCAAAGTCCAAAAGCAGGGAATTCTCCCGGATCCGCTCCAGCGAGGAGGCCTCGGAGTTCCGGACGCCGCCGTTCCGAGCGGAGCGGTCCGTCGACTGGCCTTGGGAATGACCGCGACGCCGTGTTGCAACGCCCAGCGATGCAAGACCTCCAAAGAGGGGCACAAGCGGTTGGTGCATCGGGGACGAAGAGAACTCCCAAGTCACATAGGTACTCAACTCTGTTTTGTGCAGGAAATGAGGAATACTCACTGGTAACAATTGACTTGAACGCAGTGTGTAGCATGCCCTATTCGAAACATCGGAAACTGCCTGCGAAGCGGATCGTCCCTTGGCTTTGACGATCTGGAGCACATGAGGATCTGACAAGGGCGGCAACAAGTGCGGCCAAGAGTTGATCGTACTGTAGCCCACCATCGTCATACCTCAGCTGTGCAGTTTCTGTGAATTTGCTGGACATCTTGCGGGGAGCGAATTGTCCGCCAATCTGCTTTACCACAAAAGCATCTAAGGCTTCAGAACATTTGGCCAAATGAATCCGAATCTATCCGAATCCTGTCTCGCCGGCGTGGAGGTCTGCAGCAACTTCACACTGAGACTCATGCCATGATTGTGTGCCCATTCCATCACACTCTGTGTGCTTGCGCTCAAGATCTGCTCGCCCTGCCTCGCGAAGAAACAGGCAAACAAAACCCGCCCGCTCCGAAGGTGCTTAGGGGCTTATTATGTTGCGCTGCGAACACAGTGGTAGCTCGGGGTGACCTTATTTTCGATTGGGAACGGGAATGGATATCCTGCATCATCAGGTGTGTCTGAAGGGGTAGTGGTGTTGGAAGAAAGCATGCCAAAACAGAGGAAAATGGAAAGTTTGCAACATTTGATGTGGAAGTGGTGTGCCATAATATGATCTGGGACAGGATATAGCGGTATGTTTGCAGTGACAAAAATGACCGAAACAGCTGAAGGAAATCGTTAGTTTGCCTTTCATGGTGCAAATGATGCAATACAGACATCGATGATATAAACAAAACTCTACAGTAATAAGCATGATCGACATAAGACCTAGAGATGAACGGTTACATGGAGTGGGTGAACAAAAGAAACATGTGCGAAATATGAAACTTGCGGGGGTTGTTGTATATTGTATTTGGAACCCGCTGAAACATGTAAAACTTATTAAAACTTCAAGGGTGTCGAAATTTAAAGTCGAAAAATCATACGATTACAATGAATTGTACAATGTGCGTGATCGAGTTGAGAACTACAGACAAACCGTAGCATGCAGCGGATGAATAGAAAGGTATTTGCGAAATAAGAAATTTGCTGGCATTGTTGGCAGCTGAGGCTGGGCCCCTTGAAAAAAATACGACTTCAAGGATGTCAAAAAGTAGTCGAAAAGCATGATCAACAAGAAACTATGCAATGTGCATGATCAAGTTCAGACCTAGAAATGAAAAGAAACATATCCCATGGAGGGCGAGGCATAGACCAATCCAAAAAACTTATTCCTGGGGTATCACAAAAAACAATCAAAAATCAAAGACGAAAAAGAAGAAAAAGAAAACATAGTAGTAGTAGTAGTAGTAGTAGTAGTAGTAGTAGTAGCGATAGCAGCCGTAGCCGCCGCCGCAGCAGCAGCCGTACTAGTATAGTAACTTATAGTAGTGGTAGTGGTAGGCGTAGTCGTAGTGCTAGCGATGGCGGCAGTACTGGTTTCTGTAGTAGTATTGGCAGTCGTGGTGGCAGCGGTAGTAGATTTAGTAGTAGTAGTAGTAGTAGTAGTGGTAGTAGTAGTGGTAGTAGTGGGAGCAGTGGTGGTGGTGGTGGTGGTAGTAGAGGTTGTAGTAGTAGGAGTAGTAGTAGCAGCAATAGTAGTAGTAGTAGAAGCAATAGTAGTAGAAGCAATAGGTAGTAGTAGTGGTGGCAGTAGTAGTAGTAGTAGTAGTCGTCGTCGTCGTCCTCGCCGCCGCCGGCGTCGGCGTCGTCGTCGTCGTAGTAGGTAGTAGGAGGTAGGAGGTAGGAGGTAGTAGGTAGTAGGTAGTAGGAGGAGGAGTAGTAGTAGTACTACTACTACTACTAGTAGCAGTAGCAGTAGCAGTAGCAGTGGCAGCAGCAGCAGCAGCAGTAGGAGTAGTAGTAGTAGTAGTAGTGGTAGTAGTAGTAGTAGTAGTACAATGCTGTGAGCGTGTATAGTTTCCACCGTTTCCTGCAGATGCCTTCTCTTATAGACTTTTGCATTGACTAGGCCAAATCACAGCGTGCTTCCTGCAGATATCTGCAGGTACCAGTCCTGCAGAGAAAGAACAAAAAATACAAATTACGCCAGCATAGACCCCAAATAGCATTGGAATCGTGGTTTTCTGTGCCCATGTTAGTCTTCAGCCGGGCGCATAGAAATATTAAAGTAATAGCATGACAGCAGCCGAATCGCCAGAACAAATCGTTTGCACGTTCTGCTCCCGCCTTTGGAGTTCCACAGTCCGGCTCAAAATGGCTTTGACACTACGTCAGTCGTAGTAGTAGTGGTAGTAGTAGTAGTAGTGGTAGTAGTAGTAGTAGAAGTAGTAGTAGTAGTCGTCGTCGTCATCGTCGTCGTCGTCGCAGTAGTAGCAGCAGCAGGTGGTAGTAGTAGTAGTAGTCGTAGTCGTAGTCGTAGTCGTAGTCGTAGTAGTAGTAGTAGTAGTAGTAGCGGTTGTTGTTGTTGTTGGTGTTGTTGTCGCAGTAGCAGTAGCAGTAGCAGTAGCAGTAGGAGTAGTAGTAGTAGCAGTGGTAGTAGTTGTAGTAGAGGCAGTAAGTAAGTAAGTAAGTAAGTAGGTAGGTAGGTAGGTAGGTAAGTAAAGTAAGTAAGTAAGTAAGTAAGTAAGTAAATAAGTAAGTAAGTAGTGGTAGTGGTAGTGGTAGTGGTAGTGGTAGTGGTAGTGGTAGT